AACCAGTACAAATCGGCCAAGCTTATGACCCAGCGCTTTCACACTTTCAGTTTTACCCGTACCAGCTGGACCAAATGGACTTCCACCCAATCTGCAACAATCATCCACTAGAAACAGCAGCAGGCGCTTTTACATACTATGGTTTTTAAAAAAAAAAAGACAAACTCTGAAAAAAAAGCCATATCACCGAAATGGGGTATTACCAAAAAAGACACCTAAAAATACAAGAATCCTCGCAAAGGAATTCCCCAGTGGATCTTTTACAAAAGGACCTAAAAAGATACCTCAAAAATTTGCCAAAAAAAAGAATTTTTAAACGTGACTTGATAAAAAGATTTAAAGCAAATCCAAAAATCCAAAAATTTACAAAAAACAAAGAATTTTTAAGTGCGAACTGAAAAGGTTTAAAGCAAATTCACCAAAAAAAATGTCCAAAAAACTCCTCTGAAAAAATAAACGCCAAAAAAATTTGCCGAGAAAAATTTCGAAAAAAATTTTTCAGCAAAACATCAAAAAAATTTTCCAGCAGACCAAAATGTCGAAAAAAATTTTTTTTTTCAGCAAATTACAAACTTTAAAATAAAAATGTTCGAAAATGGCCTGATCTACATAATTTAGAATTACCTGGAATTCAATGCCTGTGTCATTGTCAAGTAGCATCGATCGGTCAGGGGCGTCTGTACAAGCTTCTCTTGCAGCCCCAAATACTCAAAACCGTACGGGAAATGCGCATTGGCCATTTTGACGGTGCAACATGTACGAGCATCCGAGAGCCGCGAATCGAAATAGAAACGCATACATTTGAGCCAATGAAAGCTTGTTGCTGAGGTCACCTTGTTCTGTATCAAACTGCGACAAATATCCCTTTTGTGTACAAATTCTGTGATCTGTAAAATCACTAAAATCATCGGAGGCACTCAAAAAACAAATCACTAAAATCATCGGAGGCACTCAAAAAACAAATCACTAAAATCATCGGAGGCACTCAAAAACCTTCACCAATTTCTCTCTACTTTTTTCCGGAAAAGTGAAATACCGACCGTTTTATCAGCCAATTTAAACGTACTACTAATAAGTTACTTGCATGTGCTTTCGCCTCTCATCAAGTAGGTATGGGGAAGGAGTTTTGAACTTCGTTTCGATTAACTTATTCCAGAAGTCGCGTAGAATTCCCTCATTTTGGGGACTGCTTTATCGATGCCAACGGTCTCTGCGTTGCTCTAACAAACTCAGATTGCCTTGAGCTGCGAAACTGCTTTCGAAGGGTTTTTTCGTCGCACTTCCGTCCCGATAACTCAATTTAAAAAATGCCAACATGAAATATGTGATACTTCCTATTGTTCAGATGTTAGGCAAAGCGGGGTATCCAAGAGCGCGCGGAAACGGCAAGGAGGTTCGTGAACGTCGATGCCCCTCCCCTCTCCCTCCCCTCCCCCCGGTGGTAATGCTTGATTTATGCGTTAAAACTCTGTATATAAATGTCCGTGATCAGGAATTAATTCATTGTTTGTTAGTTTTTTTACATTCCTCGCTTGGCTCGTTGGAGCCATTAAATTTTAATTATGTTCTCGGTGTCCTCAGCTTCATCAGGGCGCGGCTCGCCCAACACAGAAAGAACTTTCATAAAATGGTAAGGGAGGGAGGAATAACTGCAATAATTAAAGTAAACCAGCAACTTACCAATGCCTCAATTTTCTTTCGTCGGATGGGTGGCTGTTCATCCAACACGCTATCCGCAAGCAGAGTTAATGTCTTATCAACAACTGTTTCAACTTCTTCCACAGTCTTTCCCTCCGCGAAATACTTCTCAATTTTTGAGCACCACCATATGTTGGCCGTAAGTTCTATCACTTGTGCCTGAAAACATTTTTCTATGCAAAACTAAACTGTGCAAGCTTTATCCGTTAATCTGCTAATTACTATAATTGACCAAAGCACGAGCTACCCGTGCGAAGATGCTTTTTTTGCATAGTTCCTCGCAGTTTTTGTCACTGCCGGCATCGGTTTTCCCAACAAATGCTTCTAGCTAAACAAATTAAGACTGGTCGCCAGAATTGTCAGGAAACACTCCCTCAAAATTTCAGCTTTCATGCTTTCCTGGATTCTGAGTTAGTAACTTACTCGAAAAAAACTTCCACGGGACCGTATGTGGAATTACCCGGGGGTTGGGTTTGAGCTCATTAATACCTACTTGGACAGGGAACATCCCCTTAAGATTTCAGCTTCCTAGCTTCTCAGAACCCCCAAGTTATCAACTTACCCGGAAAAAAATTTTGGCAGGTTCATAAGTGGGTACCACGCTTACTCGGAGTCTGGGCCTGAGCTCATTAAGACTTACATGGATAGGAAACATCCCCCTTAAAATTTCAGCTTTCAAGCTTTTCTGGTTCGAGAGTTAGCGACTTACTTGTAAAAAACTTCCACGGGCCCGTAAGTGGGTACCACGTGGGTAGGACCGCCCATTTTGGGGATGGAGGCCCATACATGCACGTAGATTAAGTTCCCAAAGTTTCAGCCCTGTAGCTTTCGCAGGTCTCGAAATGAAAAATCGGTACAAACGAATACACAGACACACACACACACACACACACACATACACACACAGGCAACCCCTCGTCAATATGCGCTTTCGGCATTGCATAGTTGTAAAAAACGCACAAAAACCCGATAATTACTAAATTCCGGCCCTGCCTAGCTTGGCGCTATATATGATTTACAAAAATTTTTCCAGAGTGTAACGGGTGGACTTACCCCATTGTGGTGCGAAGGCCAACCTATGCCATAGATGAGATAGAGGGGTGTTATGAAAATTTCGTGCGCGAGGATTCGAAGCAGGGAGGGAGGTGGTTAGGCGGATTGAAC